GGTTTTAAAGTGGAAGAACTGATTTTCTGTGGTGTCATAAAATGGTAAGAGGGTTTGATTTAAAACTAGAAGGTCTAAGATTGCATCTCCAATTCATTATAACAGTAAAATGGCCATTTAACCCCATAACTTCAGATTTGTTGTCTCCAAAACTGGTATAAATTGGGACAAATACTAGATATTATACAGAGTGAAAGTTTCTTGAGGATACCCAAGGAAAGAGGCAACTGGAAACATTTTTCCTGAAAGCAGCCACTAAGTGCATAACAGAAACCCTTGTTATATTTTATTCCTGCCCAAAACTTCTCTAGCATTTTGTCAGTTGTTTTATTTTTTTGCTTATTTATTTGTATAGTTTTTTTAAATGCATAATCAGTTATTTATATGAATTATAGCCATCAGGACTATTATGAACTGGCAAATATAGTAAAAGTGTTCAAAGTAACTGTGAGTGTATTCCAGAACTTTATTTTTTATCAGAGTGCTTTGACTTTTCAGAGATTAAATTCTATTTCAGATACCTAAACAAAGGTATAAATAAAAATCATTTTTGAGGTCAAATGCAGTTTGATTTGATCCCTTATGCCCTGAAACTGCAATTAATAATTTGCTAAATTTGAGCTACTACCTGATTTATGTGTAGCTGTTCTGACTGGAAGAAAAAATAAATAAAAGTTTTGTTTAATCTATAACCCACTTTGAAAGTCGCTAGATTTATTTCATATATTCCCGTAGTGAAGGTATGTAATCCCTGCCATTACTTGGACCTATGATATGCAACAGGCTTGGTGTTAGATTCTCTGAAAATATAGCATTTTGTCCTCATAACAACTTTGGGATTTTAATATTACCATCTTTTCATAACTGTAAAGAAAGAGTGCACTGAGATATAAAATAACAGAAGCCAGAATTACATATCTCATACATGGAAAAGCCAGAATTCAAACCTAGGTTGCCTGACTCTGAAGAAATTGCTCTTAACCTCTCTTCTGTAAACTTTTAGGAAAAGCAAACCTCAGTATGGCAAACATACACAAAATCTGAATGATATAGGAAAAATCTGAAAGAACATGGGAGTTTTGCTCTGAATGAGATATAACTTAGACCAGATGAGATAGTTAAGTTAAAATATTTTTGAATCTTTGAATATATATTGCAGTAAATGATATTAACTGATCTTTAAATTACTGAATGTTAAATATGTTTTCAAATAATATTGAGGCCA